GGCGAAGCCGACCCTGCGAGCACCACTCCAGGAGTCGAGGAGCCTGAACCACCTACGCCTGAGCTTGATCCGCAAGACTACAAGGATGGGGAAGGTCGTTCAGTATCCCCGACGAAAACATGGTCGCACTACCCGACATCGAATCCGGATACTGAAGAACGGAAAAGAGCTGCCAAGCGCAGTGGGCAAGGTACAGCAACCGCTTCCAACTGGAAAACCGCCTATGACAACCTCAGAAGGGTCAGAGCACGCGCAGTGAGCCAAAAGGTGTGCTATTGTTGTGGTTCAAACCAACATCACCTGGCTATTTGTCCCAACACTGAGAAGAAGGACGAGTTGATGAACTCATTCTCTCACATGGAGGACACTATGCGCAAGTGCTTCACCGAGGACGACAAGGCAATCATCCGACGTGATGTTGAAAGCCGAAAGAGGAAAGCAAAGTCATCCAAAGACGTCGAAGACGAGGACTACATGGATGTGGATGATGAAGATATTGAACTTCCCGAAGAAGAGCCGGAACTAGGAGGTAAGATACCACCTCACTCTCCGAGAGCCAAAGGTAGACCACACTCGTCAGACTCTGCAAAAGAGGAATACGCGAAAGCGGTCGAGGCAACCAAGAAGGCCTTTGGGAACGCCAGTTTCGTCACCAGATTCAAAGAGCCCGTCGACCTCTTCGACATTGCCGATGACAAAGAAGGAGGAGAGTACAGGGTCGCAAATCACAGGGTTGATAGATCAGGTCCTAATGGAAAGTGGGAACTTGATGCACTTATTCAGGAGGCTGCAGCACTCGGAATAAAGATGCCCAAAGTGAAGGACCTTGCTCCTGACCCACAACAAGTTCAAAAGGTTGGATATCGGCAGATTGAGGTGGCTTGCGATAGAGGAAGCATCGAGATAATTCCACAGTATGGAGTTACATTCTATGTGGAGTACTGGAATGGACCGAAGAGAGATGCAACTTTCACGGATCCACCAAAGATGAACCCAGCAACTCGCATCGACAAGTTCAGCGAGGAGAGTCAGCGGGTCAACGAGGTTAGCCATAGACTCAATAGACTACTCAGGCATGGAGTGGGAAAGCATAATGGGATTCAATCGCACCGCGGTCGAAAACCTCATGTGTCCCCGAAGTGCAATGAGGGTGGATGGGTGAACATCGATGAGATCCTGGAATATGACCATGTCTTCAACGATGGTGTCGATATCAGTACTATCTCAGGTGATCGGCATCGTCAAGATGTCAAGACAGAGCGATACCAGTATTTATGCAAGGCGATGTGGCATGCAAAGAAGTTGCAGAACAGAGTACGCTATCAGATTGCCGCCATCCGTATCTCAAGGGAGGATGTCTCACTCGAAGAGGAAAGGCAATACTGGGCAAACCTCATGTATTACAGCACAGATGCACCGTCATTTCTGAAGCATGAACGTTGGATCGTTCCTTGTGCAATTCGAGCTGTTGCCTCTCACAATTCTGGAAGAGAGACTGTTCTTGAAGAGGATGTGTCAATATATCCTGTGTGGACTTCACATCTCATTCCAGAGAATGTGGCAATGCAGCTTGGAGGAAGCTTTCACATGACATCGCTTTCCAATATTGAGTCAATCATGAAACTAGGAATTGTCCCTGGTGGAACGGAGGGATATAGAGGTAGTGTTTTCTTCAACCACTTTGCGCCGTGGGATGATCGATCATCAAAGATTCTGAGATCAAGATGGCCAAGAGTGGGAATGCCCGTTTGCCTTTATGTTCCAATCATGACTTTGAGGAAGCTTGGGGGAAGAATTTCGGAGAATTCCTACACTGTTGTTTTTAGAGAAGTTCCATGGAGATGTGTACGAGGTGCTTGGTATTGGGACGACCACGTTCAGGCATGGAGGAGACTCCTGCTGGGAAGCACTGGAGAGCAAGTTGTTCTAGCGGCACGTCATGGACTTTGGGTTGCTCAGAAGCATACCATCCTCGAAAGAGCCGACGAAGTCACGAAGTCAGCCTCGGCGACAGATGACAACGTCCAAAAGCTCGTGTCCCTTATCGATGAAGTAAAATTCGATGACAATGGAGAGCTGATCGAGGATTCCATCAGTGAGGAAACTTGGGACGAAATCATCTCCAGAACATGTGAAGGGTATCGCAACGTGGATGGCAATATTTTGTGTCCATCATGTATGCATTTGACTTCTTCATCTTTGTCCGTGTGTCTATCTTGTCAAGGCAGGCTACTCTCGTGTGGTATTTGCAACACTGTCATTTCCGATTCACCCGTTGATCTTGTGAGCGACGATGAAGAGGAAAAGAAGGAAGAGAAGGAGCCTGAAGATGATGATCAAGATATCTTGGACCAGGCCACTATGGACGAGATCAGAAAGGCTTGGGAAGAAGACATCGCTCAAACTGAAGCAGCTGACGACGACGAGGACATGGACAATCTAGATCCTTCCAAACCGTCTGATGGTGCAGAAAACTTCAAGAGTGACAATGTCGAGACCCCATCTTTCAATGAGGACGAGATCGACTACGGTCGTGATTCTGATCTAGAAGATGAAGACGAACGAAACGTGATCATCGAGATCCAGAGGAGCACACAACAATATGAGGGGAAGAAACGTCAAGATGGTGAGCCCGAGGATGAAGACGTCACCGACGACTTACATCCGGAGGCGAATCGACCGACAGATCGTGATGAACCGGGATACTATGCACAGCATGGAGCGACCGAGTTCAATCCCGAAGAAGGAAGAGACAACGAAGATCTCCCCATCTATTGTCGAGTACCGGAACCTCGAGTCTATGCGCATCAAGAGAGAGCCTACTGTCAGGACGTCTCCATGAATGCATCGGGTTTGATGGATAGGTATGTGGTCAAATGTGTGCTGAACATGATCTCCCTGATGTACAAGAGCTACTATTGCACCAGCCTTACCGACTTCAAAGCAAATTGGAAAAGGGAGCGACTGGATGTGATAAGCAAGTTCGGTACAGGGGATTCCACTGAAATCGATGACGATGGGAGACCATTGGATCCAACAGATGACATGATGTTAATCTTTGCCAACGACAACAATATTACGACTGAGGAGGCCTGGCACCGATTCAGAGGAGAGCAATTCATTTGCAAGGTGGCACTCGTGATCCTATCATTTGGTCATACTCCGCAATCCTTCAAGAAGGATTATGGCAACTTCGAACACTCCACCGACTTGACTGATGCCCAGCTTGAGGAGTTGAAAGCGAAGAAAGCCAGCGCAATGACTGAATTGGTACAGAAGTGCATCCATGCGATTTATGGGTGTCGGACATATTCTTACTTTAGAACCGACGTTACATCACCCTACCACAAGGTGATCGATCCTCTGGACATCATGTACTCGAGAATGAAGAGCAAGTGGGAGAAGTCTATTCTGTTGATCATTGATCAACATGAGATCAGGTTGCCCCCACAAGCTCAGGAAGTCATAGAGTCAATGGCCAGAAACCCCAACGTTGGACATACAGAGAGATGGATGAGCGTGGTAGAACATAAGCATGTTCAAGCTCTTACCAATCGTCTAGGCTTTGGAGATAGGGCCAAGGAGATTCAGGGCAAGAAGAAGCAGGCAGCCAAGGCAACAGCTAAGTCAACATCAACGACTAAGTCTGAAGCGAAAGCAGCATCTTCGTCAAGAGCTGAGGCAAAGCCAGCATCTACACCCAGAACCGAGGCCAAGCCGTCGTCAGCACCAAGTGAGGAGCCAAAACCTTCAACAGCACCTAAGAGTTTCGGGCCCTCATCAGCAGAGGAGAACAAGGCGAAGGCTGCTCCAAAAGCCAGACCACATGATAAATCACCATCCAGTGCTACCGATGTGTTCGAGCAAGCTTTGCAGGAAGATCTTGCCGCCAACGCACATGCAGCAGAAGGTACAACTTCTTCATCATCCCGAGGACATTCCAAAGGAGGAGGCCAATCTGGAACATCTTGGAGGCCGGCGCTAACGCAAGAACGTCGCGAAGTACCTCAACCTTCTGAAAAGGGGAAGGGAAAGAGCAAGTCCAAGGGAAAGTCCAAGAAGGGAGAAGATGATCGGTGGGATGCTCAGGGCAGCTGGGATCATCGTGGATGGAGAGGTTATCGCCAGTGGTGATTTCTTTGAACGACTATGAGGATACCATGCAAACCAGGGAGGAAGTCATTCACCGGATGTCTATCTGACCTGAAACGCTGTAAGTGTATCATTGCAAATCATCGGATTGACGATTTGATACCATGAGCATAATGGAAGGCAGACAGTCACCGACTGTCTCTCCGACTTGCCGTTCTGTAAGTGTATCCAAGTCAAAACCTACATCTTTTGAGAAGTGTGAAGTCAGTTGCCGATGTGACATCTATGTGGAAGTCACCAGTTCGGATCTACATCAAAGCGATGCTCTTTTGAGTGGATACTGAGCGAGGCCTCGTGACTGTCTCACTTGTTCAATTCGATTTTCATAGGTTCTGAGCCATAGTTGCACACTTTATATGTAAAAGTCCGCTTTAGTCCAGCATGTTTCGTAGTATGAGCCTCATATGAGTCTCGCGGCAAATCATACAATTTCTTTTGTAGCACTTACATCCCTAAATTTTCGTGTGTGATCGGAACATATTGTTGCCGTTCACATGGGGGGTGCGAATGGAAGTGCAGCGACACGTACAGTGCAACTTGTACATATATATGTACCATATGTACTTTGGCTCAAGGATCAAGCGACTAGAAAAGGTGCGGTTTCCGTTCCGACGCTACGCCGCTTATGGACCGTCAGTGATAGCTTCAAACTTCGCTGATTAAGATCCACTCGCACATAACATAATATGATATAATATAATATATACATATATATATGTATTATGTATTTTCAACAGTAGTTTTGTATATATTATATATATATGAGTTTATAGCTACATGCACATAAAAATATATATTTAGATAACATGTTCTTTCGTTTTATACTCCACGACTCGTTCGACTCGTAGGCAGAAAGCACTGCTGCGGCATCCACGACGGCGCCAGCGACCGCTGCCAGCACGTGGCTTGGCGCAAGATCTGGGAGACCTGATATATGAATTAGTAGCTTCTTGTTATTTAATAGCTGTTTTTTCCTAGTAGTACGGCCAGGAGCCCCTAGTAGCATCCTTGCTCCTAGTAGCGATGCCAGGAGCCCCTAGTAGCGTCCTTGTTACTGTTGATTTATGCACCCCCCATATGAAGATGTTTCACCGTGCAATACCGGGCAAGAGTCAACATTTTATACTCTCTTGAATGGATTCTTCAATGATGTCCAACGAATAGACATGGGTGTCGAAGTGTTTTCCCATGGTACTAGACTGGCGGACAAGAACAATGTTTCGATCTTCGGCGCTTGGTGCCATCCACCAGATTGATTGCGATAGAGGGCCTTCCGAAGGCCAATACTTTTACATGATCCATATCCATGTTCAATTCCTCAAAGAACGACACTCAGAAACAGGACATGGGAATGTCTCAAAATGATCCTCAATCAAAAGGAGAGTTCGTTTAAATGTTCTTTACAACATTTTACAACTGTCTTTGTTGTTTCGGTTTTGGGTCAACTCATACCGGTACCCCCAAAGAAGCCGTCTATTGTCTGTCTCTTGTCCAACAGCCACCTCTTCTTGGCACTTGGACCGTGGCTTTGGGACCTGTTTCACACCTTCGGAGTGGGACCCGACCTTCACCGGTCAATTCCACAATGGATTCACTATGTATAAGAATATTATAGATATACACACACCAGCACCACGGAAGGGAAATTAATACATATACAGGGACATTCCATGATCACCACCCGAACTCCGTGGAGCTGGTATATAGTATGATAGGTCACTGGGAAAACGTGGAGAAGCCAGACCGGTCGCTCCACCGGACCGGGTCGCTTTATTAGGTCCAGCGCGGCCCCCGCGGCAGGCGATGAACGGGAGGGAGCTTGTGGCAAACGAAAGGGTCAAGTTTGCAAATCAAGTTCCTCAGCCCTAGATCAACCATAGACAATCGGGTGGAGATGGGAGGTGCAGGGAAGAGATAGATGGGGAAGCCACATGCCCACACATCGGACACGATTGACACGATCGTCTCGGTTTTCTCTTTTGCCGTACTTCGAACCTCACTTTTTTCTCTTCGCAACTGGTCAAGTCTCGTTCAAAAGCTGTGCTGTGCCGTTCCTCACATTCATGTTTCATCCTGCTCCCGTTATTGCCAGCTTCTTATGGCCTGAAGTTGTGAAGACTTCTTCTGCGCTGGGGTTCAGTCTTGAACTGATTCCCTTTGGTCTCATTTGTTGAGTGTGTGAACTGATTGGCATCTTAGTAGGAATCCACCTCCCCCAACTCAATTGACTTTTTGGGTGAACACGAAACCGCGTTTTTTTTGGATGCGTGAAGAGTCTAAGAGATGCGCTCGCACGGAAAAACAGAGCCTTCCTTGGCTCCCTCGCCTTCACCGGAAAGCATCGAGCTCGCCGCGAGCCGCTCGGGCAATCCAGGACGACGGCTCAGGCGGGCACGACGTCGCCTCGGGTCGTTGGTCGAGACGACTCATCTTTGGTAGAGTCCATGAGATAGTTCTTAGGTCATGATAGTTCCTCCAGCCATGAGCTCCAAGAGTGAAAGACATCCTGCAACACACCCTCTACGTATAAGAGAACATTCTTTAATTATATTAAACTACTAAAAGGATCTAAAAAGTAATCGCTATTACATCTGGGTCGGTTTACAGGATGGCACAGGATCACCTGAGAAAACCAAGACCATCCACCGATGCCCGCCGGCCCACATCGGCAGGGAAGATATCGGGCCCTGGCTGGGGTCGCTGGGCGCCTTCTGTGGCAAATGGGGCAACGATGACTATGTGAAGGGCGAGTGGGTACCGCCGGCGAGTGTGCGAGTACGCGGCAACGGGTGTTGCGGCGAAGGGAAGAACTGGGAAGATGCAAACCCCGTAGGCCGGCGCCTTGCCAAGATCTTCTCCAGGAGGGCTTGTGACGCTTTGTGTTCTTGGACTGTTCAGAAGCTCTTCGCATAACCACCAAATCACTGAATACTGAATATGGTATGAATCCTGATCAACGTGAGCCTTGGGCCGGTTGAGCAGATCAATGAAAGTGACGGATGTATGAAATCATATGAAATCGGGTATGAGCAGTGCAGGAAAAGGGCACGAAGCTGTACCAAACACATGTAGTTCTCTGACCAAATGGAATGGACTTTAGAATGATATACAATATTGATGGTGTTTTAAACTAACTAATATATTATATATATTATACTATATATAGTATAATATATATATCCGACCTGAGCAAATTAACTATACAAATCCGTGTCACCTTCCTTTGTTCAGACCGATCGGCTGCCATCCCTGCGGTCTTTTCCTCCACGGATCACCCGCCAGTGCTTCGTTCTTCCTAGCCAGCAATGCAGCCCCAATGAGCGGAGCCGCGCACTTAGAGGGAAGAGGAAGGAACCTGATTTAAAAAAGTAATGACCGAACATATAAGGGATCCCAAGCGAGATCTATGGATCATCCGTACTGTTATATATATATATATATCATTGTTTTATTTATTACTTGAAGTAGATATTCCCATCCAGAAATCACGAGGGATTACCATGGGATCCATGGGACTAGCTATACTTGGTGAGACCATTTTCCTCGAAGCTGCGAGAGATTCTTTGTGCAATCCACGCTTTCAACCAGTGACTAGCTCTGGCATGTTGCACCGAAGAGAGTGGCCCCTTCGGCAGGACATGGATAGATATGAATAGTCCGAGAGCTGCGTGATGTGATGTCTCCATGGCCGAGAAGGGTACCTAGGCCTGGTTTTCCTTAGGGGAGTTTAGATGTTACCTATAGAAAAGTATGGGTGAGTATCCTACGGAATACTTTTCGTATTCTTTTCAGCTCCTGGACAGTCAACCCCCAGTAGGCCACTGACCGTTTCACAGTGGGAGACCCTTCCTCCTTCCACGCACGTGAGGCCAGTATGTCTCGACCAGGGGATATCCCATGATCCGGCGATGCACTCAGCTGTTTGCACAGCTGGTTTGCGGCGAATTGGATTAGATGCTTCCAGATCGGATCAGACGGTAACCTGGATACATGTCTTTGCACAAGTTTACATTAAGAAGGAATCACTTGGCAGTTGCATCTAGTGTATCCTATAGCTACGGCTACCTATTATCTCTCTCTACTCTCTCTCTCTCTCTATATATATATATACAGTAGCTTATTTTCCCTCCAGGATGACTCAAAGGAAGGCCTGGATTGCTTTTTGTGGCCGCGAATCACTCATGCATGAGGTCCATGGTCCTCCTGTCTGTGCAACTCCCAAAGCACCTGTCCATGTGCAATACTGCGTAGCTGCACGGTCTCGTGTGCGGTGGCACTTTCCCCTGAGGTCCACAGCACCCTGTGGTGGAGAAGTGGATTCCAGGTGAGGACCTGAGAAAATCCGAATGGGTCAAGGTCGCTCCAGTGGTCACCTCACCCACGCGCGGCGCTATCTAGGGAGGAAGGCCTTTTGTTGGAGACCACTTCCGAGTGGGGGGAACTAGCTTCGGCAGTAAGCGACGGTGACCCAGTGGGCCTAGATTCGAACGGTTTAGGCAGCAGGGTCTGCTAATTACCCACATGCCATCCAGCGAGTGTCCGTTTTGAAAGGCTTTTTAAGGCACAAACCGGCGCTTCTTTGAACTGATTTAGGATCCCATAAGAATTCCTCTTCCGATCCTCTTCGAAGATGTCGGGTGGAGGAACCTTTTTTGGGGGGTGTCTTGTTCGTTTCCTTGATTGGTTCTCCCTGCGACACCAAGCATCGCTCTAAACGGTTTGGGCCTAGCTGGTGGGAGTCGGAGGGAGTGATTCGGAGCCGTTCCAAGCTGGGAGGGAACCCCTGACCACTGGGGCCAGTGGGTGAACTTGTTGACCAGGTCGGCACTCTTGCTCGTGGGGCATGACCAGGCGTGGCAACTCCCACCCAACACCAAAGAGGTGAAGAGTGGGCGGGGTACCTAACAGAAGACCATCTCAGAGGAAGACTGGTAAAGCAAGAATCTTTTGGGCAGTAAAGGATCAGTATAGATCGAGATCTTCCGGTTGGGAAGTAGGATGCTCAAAACCGTCGCACGGGATCCTTGAGAAGAGCACTGGATCCAGAACGGGCATCACATCAGAAGCTTCCGATTGCGATCCTAGTCAAGTCTTGGCTCCAATGAATTTGGCGGTTTTGGTGAGATTATTTGATTATCTAATGACAGTCTATGGGGGTGTGTCCAGAAATGGCTGATGCTCAGATGCTTTGAGCAAGCTAGCTCGGTGCATTTTAGGATACATATATATATATATATTTCGAAAAAATGATGTGTATATATATATATATGTATATTTGAGATGCTGAAACTGCAGAGTTTTCTTGGCTAATTAGAGGAACAACCGTTTACAGTGATTCACTTCTGCAAAGGCTTCCATCCTCCAACCTTCGGCCGCCAGATGATGGAGCAGCTGAAGTACACAGCGCTACTGGGTGGAGCTCTTTTAGCCTTGGCCGGTGCAGCTGCTCAGCCCTGCACAAACTTCGCCTTGGTTTGCAGATGTTTCTCTCATCTCCTGCATGGCTGGAGACATGTACATGTGGATGAACAGCCACTCTTGTTCTCCTTGAATGATCTTGAAAGCAGTCCACAAGCTGTCTGCCACCACCCTATCTCTTCCTTAGGTGCTGGCTACATGCTGTTCCTCTACCCAAGTCGTGACACAAAGTACGAGGCGCTCGAGGGCGAGTGCTTGGCGAGTTCTCTTGCGAGTTGTGATTGGTCGGACTGGCACGCGAGTTGTTCAGTCGGATGCACACTAAATCAGTGCAGTCTCTTGCAGACTGAAAGCAGCAGCATTTGTGAATCAACCGACTGCGTTCTGGAGTTTTGTGATTGGTCGAGTCTTGATGAGACGGTATCAAAGCTACCATTTGTGACCTCCTTGCTTCATGGTTCTTCTACCCTGGGAGTGCGGGGTACTCGTGGAGTAGTGCCTTGGCCCATCACATGTAGGGCAATCAAAGCGTCCAACAGTTCCAAAATACCCGTTTTCCGTTGCGCTAAGTTTCTTGAACAGAGACATAGTGATCACGGTGACGAAGACCATCATAGATTTTGACATAGCAGGAGCATCCGACCATTTGGGTGTCCTTCTTTGCGACTCCACGCTGAGGAAATGAAAGGTTCAGGTGAGGCGTGGGAAAACAAAAACAGATCCTCCCCAAAATGGATCAAAGTTGTGGCTGAATTTGTTGAAGGTCACATGTTTCACACATGCTTCATGTGTTGACGAGTTGATTCTTGAGAGTTTTCAGACACTAAAAAGAAGGAGACCCCTTAAAGAGGATCTCTCAGATCTCTCCATATCTGTCCCGTCTCTCCCAGGAAGAACACAGGGAACACAGGCGTAGTGACATAGGTTAGCTTAAGCTGTTAAACATGGGCTATAACTGCTAGGCTATAACCACTCTGAGAGTGCCACTGGGAGCCCTCCAATTTTGGATCAAGCCCACCTGCCTCACCCTGATCTGAGAGGCTCTCCAGAGCGAACCAGCTCGCGCTCCACAGCAGCGGGGGGGTTCCCCCTATGCGCAGCGGGTGGGACGCTGAGCTCGGAGTCGAAAGGAGCATCAGAACTCTGGGGAGTCCAATGGAAAGGAGCAACGCAGCAACGCAGTCTGGCTTCTGTGAAGACTTTCGGTGGTTTGAGCATGTTTGAGGTTACCGAAGCAGCCACTGACAAGATGCACAGCATATCATCATACCCCGCAGTCAGGTTTAAGCTTGCGGAGTGTCCAGGAGAGGGAAACCCAGGGTACTATATACCTTTCCCTTTGTGTGGCAGATTGTGGCAGACTTTTTTTGGGGCGGGGGATCGGTCAAATGGGGTCCCTGGTTGGGGCCTGTGGGTTCTCCTTGCTGGAAGTTTGTACTCGTCATCCAATTTTGGCCGTACATCTCTTAAGAGTCAGCTCTGCATGTCATCCCGGGAACACTGGAAGCGTCAATGCAGATCATGCAGGAGGATGGATGTGTCAAAGGGTCCAATCATGTGGCCACTCTCACCGACCTGGATGGCTTCCTTAGAGGAATCTGTTCCTTTGACATCCTTCGACCATCTTTAGGTTTGACCTCCGTCGAACGGATCGGCCACCGGCGCTCGATCCCTCCGAACCGGAACCGCGAAAAGCAAGCCACCGGCGGTGGAGATCGGCGGCTGACTCACGTGCTGAGTTCAGAGTCTCATTAAAGGTGAATGGGTGATTCTTGGGCTCCTAGTTGGGAGAACATCAATAGCAAGGAGAGATAATATATAGAAGATAGATTCATGCTGATTTAAGTCTGGACTTAAGGAAATCCAGCTAATTAATTACGCATCCACTTTACGTTCAGAGAAACTTGGGATTTGATGGCCTTTGGCGTTGTGAAGTAACTACTGTAGTTGATCGGACCAGTGAACCAGTGTGAACTCTCGACTTCAGCATTCTTTGGCGATGGTTCTTAGAGCCAAAGCCAGCATGGCTCTGCCATGTGATTTTGGCTTTGCAGACCAATCGTGACATCTCCATGGCGCTGGAACCTGACCCCTTGACTCCTAGTTTAGACGATGGGTTCTGCTGCTTGGGTGAATTGGGAATGGAACCCTTGACCTCCTGAGTGACGTGCCGTTTTCCTCGAGAAGCCAAGCCGGGGCAGCTTTTTTAGCGACCAACGGCTCAAACGGAAGACTTATGACCCATTGGAAGACCCATCTTTTTTGGGGCTAAAACGGGTTGTGACCCCCAAAAGCGAACGACGGGGCACAGTTCTTCCTCAAACGACGGGGCACCTGACGCCTGGCTGACGCATGTGGTTGCACAGTCCACTCAGGGGCCTGGGGCTGCTGGCTTTGCTCCCGAAGCACCTGAGCAGCCGCCTGGCTGGATTTTCTTCGTGAGCGGAGGGCGACAAGGGCAGTTTTTTGGGTGATGAGAGGTGGGCACTGGAAAGCAAGACCTTAGCCTGAGGTTTCATGTTTATTTATACTACTTTGTGAGGTACTGTTGTGATAATTTTGGAAGAAGACCACAAATGCTCCATTCCGCCTCGCCCCATAAATGCTTGCCCAAGGACTCCACCCAGTCAGATGCTGTCCGTCAGCAGTCAGATGTTTGTCAGGAAATCCAACTTCAACCTGCAGAGATTCCAGGAAGCTCAAGCACAGGCGTGGGGAACTGCTGTGAAAGAGGGACACCCTTGGTGATGACACGAAGGGTCCGAGTTGGACTCCGTAGGTGGAAGATCATGGCACATTCTGCGACACCAAGCTTTGCAGATGGACCTTGATGGACCGCTCCTAGGCCGTGAACAAGCTCACCAGAAGCACGCCAGAGGATTTGTCAAGCTGGCTGGCTTCGGAAGTGCATGGAAGCGCTAGCTTCGCGATCTTGGTGTCTAGACCATATAGGTGCTAGGCCGCTAGGCCTATCCCTTTGGCACCATGAATCTTGATGTTGAGAACACCTGACGTGCCTGCCATCTGACGAACGTGCCTGTCGTCCTCCAAATCGATCCGGTACGGCGCCGCAGTCGACCGAAGCAGGCGTTTGCAGATCTATGCCTACTACAAGCAGGCGACCGAAGGCGATGTTCAAGGCGATGAAGCCAACGACCGGCAGCCGCCCGGAACGGCACCGATGCTCCGAGATGCTTCGATTGAACATGAATGGCACGAGGAAAGGATTTTCATGGATGAACCATGAAATCCCCAAACATGAACCAACATGAAAGGATTTGATGGTCTCCATTGAACCATGAAATTTCCAGAAATCGCTCACCATCAACTCCGGTGCTTTTGCTCGCTTCCAGCAGTGGAAACAGGTTCAACAGACGCCGGATGCGTGCGCGTCAGACGTCGCCCCGCACGTCTTCACCCGGGGGGACCCTGGAGGGAGTGATCTGCGATGGAGGCGAGAGACCTGCCTACTTCCAACAAAAAGAGCGCGCAAAGTACGACGCTTGGGCCGTCGCCTTGGAAGAGGTGGTTAGATGAAGATGACAGGACTCTATAGACTGATTTGGTAGAGACAGAAACGGAGGGTTTTTCCAGTTCGTAAGGTCCTTCCGTTCAACCACAGCAGACTTTGGAAAAGAGCTCAGGTGAAGTGCAGGGGGATGTCTTTTGACACCGCCGTGGACAAGTGCCGTGGAAGTTGCCGGAGAATGAGTTTGGGTGCTTCAAGCCTTCAAGCAGACTTGTGGCATACATGTTTAGCCTCTGGTACCTGGTACCTTGTTTGTTATAATGAGTTTATTTGATTTTATAGTTTGTTCAAACTATAAATGTTTTGAACATCAAACACTCAACTTTGGAACAAAATTGACGTTTAATTGGATTTCACATGACCAGTGGTTAGTATACTACGTATGATTGGACACTTGAAGCCTGACCCTCTGGTTCCTCCTCCCTGACTCTCTCGGCTAGCTCTGTGTTTGCCACCTTTGGCTGGATCTTTGCCCTTCTTCTTCCTGAAAGAGGTTTAGGCTAGATTCTCCAGAATGGTTCGGTCTCGGAGGAGTTCGTGCTTCAGTGGATGGCACCACCTGTTTTTCTATTCGAAAAAGCTGGGTCTTCATGGACCACCGATGCCTGCCATCCACGGACCGCCCCCGTGAGGAGAAAACAGGGAGTGAAGCCCACCGAGCAATGCTTATGTTTTTGCCTGGTTCTTCCCTGCTTGTACATAGTTGGGTATGTTGGGTATGTTCTTTTTGCCTGGTACATAGTTGGGTATGTTGGGGTCGTCTGACTCGTTTGTCCCTGGCTTACTAGCTACTGTATATTGACTATATCTGACAAGACGACTAGAAACCGCTGGTTTCTAGCTGACTCCCTGTCTCACTTCCAACCCTGTCACGGATCTTATTTTGGCTATACCCATTTTCAAAGTCGACCCGAGTTTTTGTTATTGGGGAGGGAGCCATGTCTTGTGACAGCTAGACCCATATTGTAGAGGGATGTCAGGGATGTCTCCAATCTTTCCAATTCGAAGTCGTGTCCAATCCAGCTCCTTCGTAGCTGCTTGGGCCTGATGTGAGTGCCACGCCCGCAGGTACTGTGAAGTCGTGCAACGAATTTGATTGCGCCCTTCATGTGTCACAGCCGCCTATTGGCGCCGTTGCGTACAGTATAGCTCTTTTGCGATGTCCGGGAGAAGGGTAGCATATCCCATTTTCCCAGTCCGCTGCCACGGGGGAAGACATGTCACATCATTTTGCTCGTCCTCCTTGTATATTCAACGTCTAATTATGTGATGTGCTGAGAAGGAGGTTCAGGCGGGTAGCATCGGCTTGTACATGGATGGCTTTCCCGGCCGTTCCGTGGCCATGGGAATCTCCGGGGAAGGCTGGCGGATCCGCTGGCGCCTTCATGGGCATCCTCGGGGTGAAGCTGCGGTGCCAGAAACGCCAGCGGTTCCTGGAGTTATTTTCTCACTTGATAGGGGAATTGGTCTATGAATCATGTCTCTCTGTCTCTCTTGATAGTATGTATACATGTATATTATACTTACATACCAAGTGAAGTGAAGTGTCCAGCTACAAGAAGGTTTGTCATACTTAGATTTCTACATTGTAGGTCATTGGTAATGATCATTGCATTTGTAGGAGTACATCGACAGTGATGGTTAGGATCTTTTGGCACCTCACTGGCTTCATTGATTAAGATTCCGGCAAACAAGAACATGGCAAAAGGGAATGGTGAAGACGACTTGCACAGCATTGGACACTGGCAAATTCTGAAAGCATTTGAAAGCAGCCACATGTTTCCATAAGTTGATTGCATTTGCAGTGGGCCATGGCCTGCAGGAGATGATGACTGCAATCTGTAGTGAATTAGGGGCGTTCGTGAACTCGTAAATATCGTTTGGAAACTGTAACTGTATATGTTGGATCAACCTTCACTTGCAGCTTTTTGAAGCAACAGGAATACAGACGTGTCAGAAGCATGGCATCAGGCATATGTTTTGGACATTTGTAATTAGCCACCATCACACTTTGACATTTGGGCTATTTGCGAGGACTTCCTTGAAGCTGCTTGCATTTGGTTTCTTTGCTTAAGTTTCTTCAATCCCCAACTCAGCAGGGCAAGGGAACCGCGATGATGAATGTGCTTCTTCTTGTTTTTCCAGCCAGCTCGCTCACATCCGCAACAAAAAAAACGGGTGACCAATCTTTTGTTTGGTGTTCCGCAACAAAAAAGCGGTTTTGACACCGGGTGATGCGAGCCTTTCCACCGGCTTGGCCCAAGCAACCGGAGGCGGCGGCTGTGACGTTTGGGGGGGTGTGGCATCGGCTGTGACGTTTGGGTGGGAGACGGTGAGACCTTGAGAGCTTATGCTCCTGGGAGACAGACGTCGGTTGCAAACCGCAGCTCCCGGGCCGTTTGTTGCCTCCCCAGTTGTCAATCTGCTCGAGAATAGATATAGATGGGGTTTATGATCCAAAGATTCTGGTCCTTTTCTTGTCTCAAAACGGGGTGCAACTCAAATACTATCATGTTTGACAAACAAAAAAGCACTGTCAAAAAGGCTTCTGACCCTCACTTGGGATTTGTGCTTGTCTAATTGAACGTGGGGTGTGCATCACGACTTGTCATGTTCTTTGGTGTCTTCCTCAAGCCACAAAGCGACCCAGTGGCTTGCCACCACTGTTTGAGGCTTTCACTGTGGTGAAGCAGGCTGACGATCTCTTGTTGAAGGCGACGACTCTGCAGTGCAGTCACTGTGTGGACATTCTGACCCTCTTTCATCATTTGAGGCACATGCCTCAAATGTACCACCACCCCATTTGAAACGCAAAAGAACACCGCGGAGCTGACGGCGTTTGGTTCCTGATGTTCTGCATTTCAACAGGAAGATCTTTGGCTAGCTGATGCCCGAGACTTCCTGCGGAATGGCCCTCAATGGCCCATGGCAGACATGTCCAAGGCGCCTCCCGGACGTGGTCGGCACCGGGTCGGCGGCGTGGTCGTGACTCCGTGGGGGTCCTGCACCGCCGACCTCCACAGGTAGATATGGAGGTTGCCGGCGCCATGTTCATCGTTTCATTACATGCACACGTTCCGTTTCACGTGGTGTTGTCTCCTTTCTTGGCATTGAGACCATGTTCCTTCTCTTCTCGTTGGGCAACGGAGCTGCCGAAGCAGCGAAAGCCACGGAGCTGCCCCGGAGGCTCCACGCACAGAGCTGCCCCGGCGCCTGCAATCGGTGAACTTCTTGGCGTGGCAGAAAGGCCAGACCTCCCAATGGTTGGTTGCTGGGTTGCTGGGAACACCTTGGAGGGTTGAAACAAGCGTGATTCATCTTCCACCAAGGCTTGAGATGTGGAAGATGTCGAAGACGTGGAATTGGGTGGTTTTCCTTGGTCCCGTGTGAGGAACACGAAGCAGCTTCCTCTGTTGTTCAGTGATGTTTGAGTCTTTGGGATTCGGGATCGACCGATGTTTTTCATCAAGACACAAGCCCTTGTCTTGGCATGAAGGAGGGAAATGAAGTGAATCTTCGAAGCCCAGTGGAACAGTGTAACTATGATTTATAGAATCAGGCTAGTCTTGAGGATGCTAGTTTGACACCAAGAGACATGCGAGATCAGAAAGCAACATTTCCACTCCCCATGCATAGGCCAGAACGAGCAGCTCGGCGCAACACACGGAACAGGGAACGATCCTTCAGCTCTGCAGCCGTTTTGCTGTGACTTTCACTACACCTGACCGGGCCGCATAGCAGGCAAGGCTGAGGACGTGTGTGGGAATTCGATTTCCTGGACGTCCTGGACAAGGTGTGTGTTCAAACATTAAGTCGGATCACACCCTGGCAGAGAAACATTCAAGCAACAACAAACATTAAGTCAACAGTGGTGTCGAAGCGCCAGACAGATGCATTCGAGGTGCATGCAGTTTTGGAAAGACAATCAAGATTTAATCATAACGCAACCCTCAACATTCTAGATTTAGTTGCTGTGGTGTGACCAGGCAGCTTCGCATTGGTGTGCCACTCTCATTTTTCCAGTGAGTGTCGTTACGTGTGTCGTTTGAGCAAATTCCTCGAGACAACCAACCCAGCTCGGCCTTCAACCAGTCCAGTTGGAAGTCGAGCAGTTTCCTCCTTATATGCTAGTGAGTGTATCAAGGGAAACTGACAAAATATTGGTGTCCAAGACACTTGGTGTTGTTTTTTTGGGCCAGGCATGCATGGCTGAGCCCACCACCTTTGGTCAGGACATATTCCATGGTCCATGACCGTATAGGTTTGCAGAGGATGTTTAGCCATTCGTCCTCAAGTCGAGGGAATCTTGAATCTTGAGACCTTGAAACGAAGCACGCAAACCGACAACAGTGTATCATGCCGCTATGCTTTAAGCTGTTAGTCTTTTTGGCAGACAGTTTAGCCCCTGGACTTGCACGGGCTGAACACATGCCATTTCAGATAGAATGCCCGAAAGGATGTCAGAACATGTGAGAGTTAGAATGCCAGCAGATCGTCACGGTGTCAGAAGCTAGAAGATGTCCCAGTAAGAATGCCAGAAATAATGCCAGATAGAACGCCACAAAGGATTTCAGAAGATGTGTTAGGTCCAATGCCAACAGATGCCTGGTAGACTGCCGGAAAAGATGCCAGGCAGAGTGCCAGGAAGGATGTCAGATGGTGTGCTAGCTGGAATATGTTAGAATGCCAGAAGGTTTGACAGCTGGAATGTCGCAAGATATGCTAGGTAGAGTGCCAGAAAGGAAGATATGGCCGCTGGAGTGCCAGAAGATACAGTAGGCAGAAAGAATGCTGGAAAGTATGGCAGAAGACTTGAATGTGAGAAGATTTGCCAGAAAGGATGTCAGGAAACATGCCAGTTACAATGTCATATGATATGCCAGATAGCTGGAACAGTACAGCGGCTTCATTGCCATAGAGAATGCCAACTCACATTCTTGAACTTATGTCAGAAATTGAGTCGGAATCCATAGCAGAACACATGCCAGAATCGAAATCGGATCATATGTCACGGCAATTGTCAGATCTCACCGCAGGCCAAAGGTCGGAACACATGCCAACAAGGACGTCGCAATATGCCCCAGACTATTTAGCAGCCTTTATGACAGAACGCAGACCAGACTTGATGTCAGAACATGTCAGACTTGTTTGTCATGATATTCTGTAAATACGCGTGTGCTCTCGAAGAAAGTATTGTCTAAGGATGTCTAAGGGTTTTCATGCTCTCTTGCATCCAGGCCATCCAAGGATTTCGTGGATCCTTCTCACTCCGTGGAACTTCCGATCACTTCCTGGAAGCTTGGATCATGTCCTGGAAATGGAGAAGACCTGCAGGACGCGCAGGGACGCGGGGACGGTAGGGATGCGGAAGAGGCGTTGCCCTGGCCCTGGATCCCCAAAAGGAAGGTTTTGTAAGATGAGACTGATTTGACCGTGAAGGTAGCGGCGGCGTCTTAAGCTGTGGGGAGTGTAAACGAAAGAAGTGTTTCTTAGAAGCAGCAAGCATGCCATTTTGTACCGTTATATTACGTATCATGCTAATGAAATCTAGTAATTTGATATTGTATCACACAACATGTTTTTGATATCTAGTAACATGCAGAATAGGGTGAAAACTCATAGTGCCTGAGGGAAAGAAATCCCAATGTCTAATAGCTTTCGTTGTCAATGAGCGGTGCCAAGGGCATTGTTCACCTTCCAAGTGTTTGCAGTTCACTAACCGTTTTCCACGCACCTCGGCAAAAAGATCCATTGTGCGAGTCTTTGACTCATCGCTGCTTCAATGTTCGTGGCGGGCATTGTATTCGTAAGCCTAGGCCTTAGTACGACATGTCATGTGACTTTGCTTTTCCAAAATGATTTCGCACCAGACCATATAATATATATATATACATAATATGATTTTGACAAAAAAAACACAAGCGAGTGAACGCAGTGAGTTTCCATAACACTGGCGGCTCGTTGGTGTACTCGGATGGTTACTGTATATATTTGTTGGATTTGTGGATGAAACTCATTTGGGTGTAAGCTGGTGGTCAGAGAACTGGATATGCTTGGCAATCATTCCTTGGTTGAGATCCACTTATCCACTTGACACCTTCACAATTCATACACTCTGAATCTGGCCGATGGCAGGAAGACTGCGGAGATCTACCTTTGCCGCCTGGATGAGGTCTCAGTTTCAGGATGTCATGGACTGGTGGAGGCAACCCAAGTAAGCATGAGCGTTGGCGCAAAGGGGTTCATTGAACTATTTCCCAACTTGGTTAATCCAAATTGCCAAATAGTTGGGTTCAAACAAACCCTGGTGGTTCTCGTAGTCATTTTGCGGGGAAGGCGTCTATGAGCAGGGTCCTAATCGTTCCTCAAGGTGGCATTTGAGACATGGACTCATGCATTATGATACCCTGTTTTGGGAAGAAGGAGGACATATTTGTTGATGCCAGCTTTCGAATCATTTCGATCGACAGGCAGAATGCTGCGGAGATCAACCTCAACCTTAGCATCCAGCAAACATGGTAAGCATCGACGTTGATGACCCTTGATGGATGTAGGACCGGTCAAAGTGGCAACTGATGCTTCTCAGCTTTATTCAGGTTTTGCCCACTTCCCGCAGCTAAACCCGTGAATGCTGAGGGATTCATCGGCATAGTTTCAGAAAAGAATGCAGCGGGTCTATCAGCAGCATAGTGCCGCAAGCCACCACCCGTGCAGCACCAGCATAGTGGGTAGTTAATGCAGCGGGTCTATCAGCAGCATAGTGCCGCAAGCCACCACCCGTGCAGCACCAGCATAGTGGGTAGTTATACTTAGTAAGTTGCAGCCGAGTTCTTGGTCAGGTTCAAAAACCGAGATCGAAAGTCGGATCCTCCAAGCTAAGGAGAAGAGGATGGAAGAGCATCTCCAAAGAGAAGAGGATGGAAGTACAACTTCCAGGATAAATGCAGAGCATGGAGAATCAAAGACATCGGTCCTGAAGATGAATGACAAGGCTTTGCTTTGCCTCCAGGACTGGTGCAGCGACCGCGATTCCTGGTGTTGGCAGATCTTTATGCTCATTTCACACATTGCAGTCTTTGGACTGAGTCTGGCATTGGTTGTACTTTGGGCCTATGTGGTCTTTCCTTTTGAGAATCCAGGGCTTGGATTTTGGCCAAACTGGATGTTCAACTTTGTGGCGCATCCTATTGCAAACTACATCGTTGCTCGGGGAATTCTAGGCTGGTGCACCAGACAAATTATGTGTGACCTCGAGAAGAGGCCCAGCTTGTGCAGGGCAGAAAGGCCAGAGATCACACAACGGGTACGAAGATCTCTGTTTTGGTTGCCCCTCGTCGACTCCCTATGCTGTGCCGGCGAGCACATCATTTTGTCCTTTGCCAACGTCTATCCGATCCCCTTCTCCGTGCCACTGGCTTGCATCCCTGCTGCATTTGCCAGCATGGGAGTGTTCTATTTGCTTCTTCCCCAAGAGGTGCGCGCTATCCGCAGCACAGGCAATTGTTTGAAGTTCACCGTCTCTGCCTGGACAGTTTTTTGCGGCTTCTATGCAATGATGCTCTTCTACATCGCCTACTTCCCGCAGATGGACACCGGAGCGCAACTTGCTATGAGCCTTGCGGTTTCCGCAGTGGAGTTCCTGGCCGTCAAAGTGGCGGTCACTTCGGGCAGGCGATGGAACATGCCTCTTCACATTGCGCGGGAGATCAGAACTTGCATGAAACTTCCAGTGATCATCTTCAAAGCCTCCATACTCTCGGAAGCCAAAGATGCTTGGGTCCTCCTGAGCATGATTCTACTAGAAGTTCTCCAGGTTGGCAGTTCCGTCATCGCCGTCTTCTTTGATCTTTTGCCAAGAGATGCGACCCTTGACTGGACGAAGATTAGGTCGAGGCATCAAGTTCTGCAAGCCTGTCGCAGCTCATTCGAGGGCTTTAAATCCTTGCGAAAGAGGCTCAAAGACATCGCTGAGATCTGTCGAACAATGACCAAAGAAGAATTGAATGATGTGACTTGGAGCAAAGAAGATCTCCATTTGCTGAATGAAATCTCCAGCTCCCTCCCAGCCGTGGTCATGCTGGAACTGTGCGAGGTCGTGGCACCCCTGATCTACTTGAGCCTCTTGCTGTGCTTGCGAAGCAACACTTTCTTGGGGCACAACAGCTCGTACTTCATGGGACTGGCAGAGGCCAACCTGGAGGAAAATGTCCTCGCCAATAGCTTCAGCCTTTTGCTTGAAGTAGCGATGTTCGTGGTCACTGACACTTGCATGAGGGCAGTGTTTGGAATCAGTTTCTTCAGCTTCATTCGCTTGGTGCTGCGCTGTGATTTTTCTTTCTGGCTCAGCACGCTTTCGGTAGCGTATGTTGCTTGGTTAACGATGCTGGTCCAACACACAGGCCATGATTTGACCTTTCAATTTTCTTGGCTCGCTAAAGGCTTAAGCGATTGATGGTGATTGGGGCAAACCCAATTAGCCAGAAAAGAGTAGTGAGTAGTGGCCTCCTTGGGGAGGTTGCTTCAATTCTTTAAAACTTGTCACAAAAGCTCTCCTGATTTTCCGGTCATTGGAGAAAAACACTCTGTTGCGTTTGGCGTTCAAGATCTTGGGATTCGACAAGTGGTGGTTTAACAGTGAACAGCAGATGGGGGCATTCAGAAATTTATCCATTGGCCAAAGCGGGAGTGCTATCAGATCAGCCTGTCGAGCAACATTGAGCAACTATTGCGTAGCTGATGCGGCAAAAGATGGTCTCTTCTTTCCGAGTTGTACCCCATACGATCATCTGATGTTTGCCTGATGCCTTGTACAATACATCTCTTTCTATATATAAAATGACAGTATCAGTCTCAGTTCATCATAGTGCACACAATGCAGGCCACAACATCTTTTCAAGCAAAATTGGCCGCCACAACAGCTCCTTGCCAGACGCCTCCCCCCACCGTGAAAACTCCCACCGGAGTGGCACCGCATGCGTCGGGCCTCGGCCCAGGTCAGCTCACCGAGCACCTCCGCCGGAAGAGCGAACAAACTCTGGTGGCCGCTGCGGACCTGCGCCACTTCGCCGAAAAACCGCGGCGCGGAGCGGTGCGCGAGGTGGGCGCGGTTTATTGCGGTGACCGATGGGAGCATCCTGAAGGGCGGTAGTGGGTGGTTTCAGGGTTTGGTTCGAAGACTTGACCTCAAGAGATGGAATAGAGATCATTGAAAAATGTATTGACATATATATATATATAAAGACCATTTGAAGTTCTCTCCCTGGATTACCCACTGACCTCAAGTTCATGTGTGGTTCATAAAACATCCTTTTCTATCGATCCATCTTAATATGGGGATGTTCTTGAGGATGCCATTTGCCTCATTTGCCCATCAGTGATATTTTCTGTTCGAGCACCCAACAAATGATCACAACTATTATATACACAATAAATAACAATATAGAGATATCCCTTTGTTTCATGTGTGTTCTTTGTTCTTCCAGAACAGTGACTCAGTAGGGTCAAAAGACCAGTTCAGTGCCCGGTTCTACTCGCAAGGAACTCCTCCACAGCCACCAGCTTCCTCCGTCGGCGCTGAGGTGAGCTGATCGTCGCTGTGCAGCGCGACGCGGCGAGCATCCAGGAGGAGGAAGAGGCCTTGTGCCAAGCGGAGGAGGCCTCGTCCGGTGCCGGGTGAGGCCTTCGTTTGTGGTGCGAGGTGCAGTGGTTAGAGAGAGGGTGGATGGCGAGGTTTTTCTACGAAAGCAAAGGTCATGGGTTTGGCCCTCGACGCGGGCCACGAAACGGCTATTCTCGATAATTATATAAACGCTGGAATTTCCGGTGAGGACTGGTCGGTAGATGACATGAAACGAATGTGGAAGGAAAATCAAGAAAACTCGTATCAATTCAGCCAATGGATTTGAGTTGTTATGTCATTTGGGGCGGAGGGCCAGAGGTCATCCTGGTTATTCAATCAGGCTAGTAGGGCCTACACCCTATGGCTCCAACTACCTTCTGAAAATGTGGGTTGCCTGCTGAGGATGTGGTTGGAGCCCCAGGGACTAGAAGGGGACCCCAAAAGGAGACAACCCAAAGCTCAGAGGTCTGTCAAATGGTGTTGACCTATACACCCAAATCATGTTTCTTTTTAATGTAGTTAATCTAGATGTTGGATGGTTTGAGGGCAGTACTCAGTGCCCAAAGATCGGCAGGAGTTGCTGGTGGGACGGCAGCGCTGTGCCCGAGAATTGCAGCAACTTTGGGAAGACCTGGATGTGAGGGAGAAGGCCTTGGAGGAGGCGGCACTGGAGGCGGGGTGCAGGGATGATGCTGACCCGACTGGTGAAAGGTATTCGTTCTGGTGGGTTGAGGCGTCGGGAGGGGATACCTATGAAAAAAAAGAATCCTATCAAAAATAGAATTGATTCCTATCAAAAGAAAAAATAATTCATATCAAAAAGAAATATCATGATCTCCTTAGCCTTAGACCTGCTGGTCCTCTGGTCCCCTAATCCTCTCCCTGGTCCTCTGGTCCTTGGTCCTCTGGTCCTTTGGTCCTCGGTCCTCTCGCTTCTCCTTCCCCATACACCTAAGGGCGAAGGGCTGGGCCAGGTCCTTGGTCGAAGGCGACCACCTTTCCATTCGACATAACCATTTACCTTGGGTACCTCGGAGCCTGTGGGTAGTGGAGCGCGCAAATGTGTTGAGAGTGGCCGGCCGATGAAATCCCAGTGGACATCCTCGTGTACTTTGCAACTTCTCGTTGCTCATATACCAAAACTGAATGTATAGGGCGCCCGGTGCCCGCACATCTTTCAACAGCGAAACAGCGTGCGACTTGCGTGTTGGAGTGCGCTATATATTTACAACTGACTACTTTAATATCTGTGTCTCTGGCGTACACATGGGACTGCTGTCATGAATCTTTTACGAATACTCCTTTTTGCCTCTCGCGGACTCAGCTCTTTCGGCTGTGTGACCCGGGGATACAGTGAGCGAAGCCTCGTCTTGACCTGTTGTGTTTGGGTCCTAGTTGAGTCTTGTGTGTTGTACTTCATTCGTGCCTGACCCTGTGGGTACGTACACGAGGCACAGCTGGGCATGGCGCGATACTTCCCTTTCTGGTTTGAAGGCGGGCTTTTGCAAGCTGAGGGTGGGCAATGGATGGGAATAGGTCACCTACATGACAGGAGAACTTTCACTTTCGCTGTGTGGTTGAGAGGTGCGGAGCGAGGCGTATAGAACGTCGGACATCGTACGTGAGCGCACGCTACCGAGGAGGTCAGACATCACGAGATGGAGATGTCCCAGGCGGGTGTGCTTGCAGATTGCCATGCAGCAGGAGGCTTCAACCACCGCACAACGTCGGTTCAGGCAGTCACCCCATTGGAGGATTTGAAGGTTGTCAGACATCTAAAGATGGAGATTGTGTGTCAGGCAAATGTGGGGACGTGCGAGTTCAATTACTGATTAAAAACAGGCGGATCTAAAGGCTGTGCAGTGCAGTTCTGTGTGTGTAGATGTGGCTGCTGGCATTTGTGGGCCGTCCGATGAAATCCCAGTGGACATCCTCGTGTACTTTGCAACTTCTCGTTGCTCATATACCAAAACTGAATGTATAGGGCGCCCGCACATCTTCAACAGCAATGAGATCCGGCGAAGACAAGGTAGCTAGCTGTTGCACGGAGATGCATTGTTTCTGCAGCAGCGGCTCCCACAAGTGCAACGCATATGCCCGCGCAAATTTGGCAAGGGACATAGGAGTTCCGCGAGGAATTGCTGGCCGATCTTGTTCCTCGCTGGGCACAACAACACTCTCCTTTGGGAGAGGACTTGTACAGGCTCTTGCTCAAATAGAGGAACTGCCTTTTTGCGGTCAGGGAAGGCTGCTGTCTGCCAGGAAATGTGTCCTAGATGGAGAAAGGCCGCGTGGGTATGCTGTCAGCACGACGCCAGAAGGTGGTGGCAAGAGGGCCAAGTACAACAACGACATGGGAGGCAAACAACTTCACCAATTTCTCGACATCACTGAGTGGCGAAGCCTAACGCGCAAAGATGTGTCTCGAGTGCTTCGGCTGACTCGGCCATGACGACCCCTGCCAGATTCTTGTCCAACCCCGCTCTTGGATGCTGCACCTCTGCATCAGGGACAAAAGTCCATTCCGCCGTGCTATGGTTGTAGGCGCAGAGCGTGCGGCGTGAGGCAAAAAAGATAATACCCTCATGCTCGAATACATCAAAGGCACGGGTTGAGCTGATGCGCGACCCTCTTTGGTCAGGCCCTTTGAGTCATACAAGACGACTTTGTCGGGGAAAGGCTCACAGGGTACATCCGGGAGCAGCTGATCTTGTGAAACCAAGTCCTGCAAGCGAGAGCGAGTAAAATCTTTCTAGCGCTTTGCAGAAGGCTGGGAGCTCAGAGCGGAGGTTCAAGTAGCCTACTGCCATGTCGTTGTTGTACTTGGCCCTCTTGCCACCACCTTCTGGCGTCGTGCTGACAGCATACCCACGCGGCCTTTCTCCATCTAGGACACATTTCCTGGCAGACAGCAGCCTTCCCTGACCGCAAAAAGGCAGTTCCTCTATTTGAGCAAGAGCCTGTACAAGTCCTCTCCCAAAGGAGAGTGTTGTTGTGCCCAGCGAGGAACAAGATCGGCCAGCAATTCCTCGCGGAACTCCTATGTCCCTTGCCAAATTTGCGCGGGCATATGCGTTGCACTTGTGGGAGCCGCTGCTGCAGAAACAATGCATCTCCGTGCAACAGCTAGCTACCTTGTCTTTGCCGGATCTCATTGCGGCTTTTCCAATCATTCCTGCCGGTGTCCTCGTTCACATCCAATCTGCCACACAAACATGGCTTCGCCCAGCTTCAGATGAGGCCAGACCACTTTTCCGCTGTCTTTGCTAACATCTGTTCTTGGCACGTCGTGTTGTTTCGAATCGATTGCTGTTTTTCCCACGTCCAGTCAGGCGCCAGAGTCTGAGCAACGGCGTCCAACTTCAGACGTCCGGAGCTTACTTTCCAAACTGCAGTAGTGTTTTCTCACATTTTGCACGAATCCCTTCCGAGTGCCATCCCAGGTACAATCTGCCGAAGCATCGCGCGGAAAGCGTCCCTCCTGGCAGGTCAGCTTGTTGTCGGTGACACTGTTTCATTTTGCTCCTTTCCTGCTTCGTTGTTCTTCTTCAAGTGTAACCTACTCACACATCAGCTTTTGACAGGACATCTCCAGCACTTCTGAGTGCTGCAAGCGCATGCGGGAGATGTACCCGCGGTAATGAATCCAAAGATCTTTTAAATATATGAAGCTGAAGCTATATTATATTTAGTTATAGAAAAAGATTCAATGATCATCTCCATGCTGTGGAGAAAGATATACCAGTTCGAATGCCACAAGACATTAAGCTGTTTGAGGGTGCTTCCCCAACAGAATGTCAATATGTATGTCAGAAAGCTTACCAGGTGGAATC